TATATTGTCATTTAATATTTAATATATATTATCATTTTTTACATTTTATTATATCATTATACTATATTACATTAGTATACTGTGCTATATGTTCAAATTGTTAGATAAAAAAATGTGAGCCTGCAGAAATTATTTACTTATTAATCATGACATTGGCCGATAGATGTTGCCATCTGGTCAGACCAAATTCTAATTTTTGGCTGATAAATTTTAAACTCTAAACACCGAATACAATCGATTTAAAAAATAACTTAAATCGTAGTACTGTATCTATTCAGATATATATATATATATATATATATATATATATATATATATATATATATATATATATATATATATATATCTGTTTCTATTTCGGCAAAACAAAATCGTTAGCGGAAAATTACTTCTAGAATGTTCCAGTTCTGCTGCATCAAAGCTGAATTAAATATTGTAACAGATTATTGCCGAAAATTACGAATCAAAATCAACTCCTATTTATTTGATATTATGAAATCTAACAAGCTCTAGTTTCGATAGAAGGGTCGTTATTTCTATTTCACAGCTAGCCATGGCTAGCTCGTTAATTTTTAACGAGTTATATTTGTTACACGTTATAATTATTTTCAGAGCAATTGTTAAACTGAAAATCTTTAATTAAGAAGCATAATATGTATTATTTATGAAAAAATAAACCATCGTTGAAAAAAAAATTAAATATCTTTTTACGTTTCTCGTTATTTTACACGACATTGATGAAAAATAATTAACTTGAATTATCTCCCAGAGATAGTAAAAGGAAAATAAATTAGAATATAAACTCGAATTGTTAATAAATAACAACCATTCAGATTTAATCTGTTATTTTATTTATCTTCTACATTACTTTTATTTTATTTAATTATTTTCTTTTGTTTTACCGTTTAAGAAAAACGAAATTGGTAAAAGTCTAAATTTGCTGTCACTTAAACCCAGCCATTTGCAAAGATCAATCTCCAGAACTAAAGTTGTGTTCACATTAATGTAGAAAAGTTCTTTTAAAGTTTCTACAACCGGTACATTTGCCTTATTGTTTATTTTTCATTTAACGAACTTATTTCACTTTCTTTAAAACTTGAATAAATATAACTTCAACTTTTACTATAAATCTAGAACATTATTACAAAAAAGTTCCTTAGAACTTTTATTTTAAGAACTTTTTGCACTCAAAAGTTTTACAAAATCTGTTAAAATGGAACTTTTCAAAAATATTTTAACTCCTGCTTTAAAGTCACTTCATACAGAAAGTCTTGAACATGTAAGTCGTCCTAAAACAATTAATTACCATTATCTACTCCAGTAATTGATTTCCTCTTCCAGGTAGCTCCGTCGATTTCTACACAGTTTAAATATTTAAGTAGAGATCTGCTTAACCGATACAAGATTCATCATCAGTCAAGTTAAGGAAAGCAAGAACGCCCATGCTGCATTTTTTCTATAGTGGGTATACCCCAGATATCATAATACTATCTCGTACACATAATCATATTAAAAGAAAAAAAATAGAAAGTAAATTTTAAAAAAGCGAAAAGAAAGTGATAGCTTTTCCATATTTAACGTATGCAAATCATAAAAAAATCTGTTTCCCACACACGTAAACTCAAAGTTAACAGAAGTGAAGAATCACTCTTACCCATTAGGAATATTCCCGAACAATCTGCATTATTCAATGACTAATCGAACGAATGAGCTTCTAATCGTTCGGTAGAGATCGGAAAACGAAAGTGTTCGTTAATTAAGGAACTGGTAATCAGTAAGGTAATTATACATGACGGATAATTCAACAGTAAGTAGCGAATAGGCGTGGAAAAGTGGTCGGAACAAATCGCTTCTCTAATCTCGAGATAATCTTATTTTCAAAAATTACCTCATCACTTTCCATCTTAAACTATAGTTATGTCTCAATTGTATACCGGGCTAACGTATCGAAATTTTTATGAATTAGTCTCATCTCGGTTAGTTTAGGAAAAATATAATGAATATATTTTTCAGTAATTGCTGATAATTGAGCGATTCATACCCAGAAGATATGAATCGAGAACAGAGAAGTAGTTATAGAAGAAAAAAAAAAAAAGATTTATATATATTCCGGATCCTTTTCCCTATGGAACTCCATCCCTCCCCACATCCGTCAATCCAAAACCCTTCCTACATTTAAATCCCAACTGTTTAATCATTTCTTATCCATCCAGTCCTCATCATAAAATTGTAAATAGTTACCACTGTAAATATGTATATAAATTGTTAGATCGTTCTTTATTATTTTTACTTCACGTTTATTTTCAATTTTTTATTTTTTATTATTAACTGATGTAAATTAGAAAGTAACTTATAATCTCTTTAAATATTTTTTTATTATTTTTTTTTTTTACTATTTAATCAAGCTATGTTCTTGTTTATGTATCTCTGAGGCTCCATAGCCCACATTTTTGTCTCTCTGTATTATTCTAAAGGGACTCGTCCCAGAATAAATAAAGCATTATTATTATTATATATCTTAAAAATGTTTCGATGAAGATATAACTTTTAAAATTGTTTACTATATTAAACATACAAACAGTAAATGTATACAAAAAAATATAGTGACATGAAAAGTCTTGTAAGAAACTAATCATTTGTAGCATTCTCATAAACTTTCTATATTAGAAGGTCCTGAGGCCATCTCCTTTTTAGACGCACCTGTGGATTTTTAGGGATCGAAGAGGAATCAAGGTTAAGAACGATATGGTTCGGATAGTTCCGTATATTATGATAGGATATGTACGTAGATTGGTCAGAATTGGCAACATATGGAACACATGAGCCATTTATAGGTGGTTTTATTTTTTACGAATTAAAAAGCAATGAGTAATTTTACAAAGGATTTTAGATTGTAAATATCGGACACCAAAGGAATTCAATGATTTATTGCAGAGCTCCAAAGCACAACTCCGCAAGTCAAATTGGCCTTGGTTATTATTATTATTTTTTTTTTGGAGGGCATTACAGATCTTTTCCTGCCTTCTCCATGTTTGCCTACCTTAGGCTATTTCTTTCCACTTATCTGCATGCAGCTCTATTGAATCTTGCTTACTATTGAGGCTTTTATTGTTGTGTAGAAACCTCCTGCTGGATTGCTCTGAATTACATGCCCCACCATTATATTGTCCAGTTTCTGTAAACAGCTCTTCGACTTGAAGTTGGCCTAATCATAGTAGAGTATTAATCTTCTGTAATTAATTGGAAGCTTGGAGTGTTTGTCTAGTAAATTCTGAAGTAACCGAAAAAATCGAACGATTTCTTGCTATTGTATTAGGATTCCTCGTTAGACGTTTGTCCGGATGAAGTCCAAGGAATCAGATCTGTTCAACGAGGATAAGTGTAGTATTATTGGAGGATACTGTAGAAAAGGAAGTCATAGGCTTACGTTGAAGGATACATAGTGCCAGGACAGTGTGGTCGGACTCATTAATATAAGTACAAAATAAGTTAAGGCATAGCATAATTGAAAATAAATTTTTTACAGTAACTAAAATAACAAAACTGCATTAAAAAGTAAATATAACAAAAAAAGAATAAAATAAGCTAAAAAATCATAATATTAGTAAGTAAGCTGAAAATAGCACTAAGAATTAAGACTGGGCGCGGAAAATTATTAAATATTATTCAACAACCATCGTCCTTCTAACGCCTATAACCTTCTCCAGTTCAAATCCTCAGTCCATTCCCTGTCCACAAGATCTCGACCTTCTGACCTTTACATGCCTTCTCACAGATCTGCCTCATTCCAAAATTCCTTTATTGTTCGCTCTGTCTATTTCTGGAATTCCCTCCCTATCAAAATTCGACATTCTCCCTCCATATCCACATTCAAATCCTTCCTATTCCAATTCCTATCACAAAAACAGTCAGATACTTGCTAACCATTGGAGCGGATTTTAATAGAGAATTTGATACATTTTTATTTTTTAATTCTTTATTTTTTTCGGAAAAGTGTATACTGGTCTATAAGAGCAAATAGCTTTAAGTGTCTTGTCATAGTATTAATGGTTTTGTATATAGTTTAGTTTGTTTTGTATATAGAATTTTTACCTTATATTTTTTTTACATTATTTCTTTTTTTCGATTGATTTTATTTTAATTTTGTTATTCTCAAGGGACTGTGTCCCAGAATAAAGTTATTTTTCTATCAAATATCGTATTTACAAAAAAATAGATTTCGTTCATTCTATAGATTACAGATTCTCTAAAATAAACAAATAACTTCAATACTTAAATAAAAATCCTTTTTAAGAAATGACTCATTGTATTTCAACCTTCAAGTTGGGCTGTGTGCGTCATTGAATGTTTATATTTCCTGACAAAATGATTAAGTAATTTTGAATAATTTTTGCTCTTCAATATTTATAGCGGTAATACCGTATTCTCATCTAATGGTTATGGTAGTTTAATCGTATGCTAATAATATTTTGTTGCACATGGCTCTCATTATGGTTATTGCCATGAAGTATTTAGAAATATAATTGTATATTGAAGAGTTTAAAGCTGATTATAATATAAGATATAATTTAATATTATATCGTATATTATAAATAAACTACAAAGGCAGGAGTAACTGTTAATTTAATTTTTAATATTGAAGTGACTATTACCGTTATTTAATGAAAAGTCGTTATTTCTCAGAATATAAATTTAATATTTTTTTTAAAATCACACTATTTTAACAAGATAGAGCTTCTAAATAACATATTATTTAAGATTAAAAACTATTGTGTTGAAATTTTGACCATTACTTAATTTTATTTATTCAACTATAAAATTCCACAGCAACATTATACAGTTAAACACATTCATGTTTCAGCTCAATGATATTTAATTCAAACATGATATTTTTTATATTTATTATTTTAAACCTAATTATCCAGTCTATATTAACAAAACCTCCATTTTAATGTTGTTGTTTTTTTGTATCAAATTTTAAAATAGCTTTTAATAAATACCCGCCAATAACTCAAGATGTCCATCCACTCTTAAACTGGTAATGTTATAAGAACATCTTATTACCTGCAACAAAAAAATAAAAATAAATTAGATTAATTAGGTATAATTTAAAAAAAAAAATGTATGATACATATTACTATTACTATTTCGAGCAACAGGGAATAAGAAATTCTTCATCACAACCACCCTTTTTGAACTTTTGTGTAATTGTGTGATGATTATAGCAAAATATATTTTTGTATCTGATATTTTTAAAGATTAATAATTTAAAAAATAAATAAATTAAATCAATTGCCATCTTTATCAGTTTTGAAGTATCAGATTTTCATTACGTATCACTGAAGTGGGGATGCTTTACACAGAAGATTTATACATGTCAAATAAAATAGTTGTAAAAAATGTCATTAAATAGTTTTTATCTGTTAAGTGTTGTCATTAAGTGGAACTATTTAGAAACATCATCAGTTTTTAATGTTATTACAGGAATTTTCTCAGTTTTTATGGTCTCTCTTTCCGTTATTTTATTTTTTATTTATTTCTTTGATGATGCTGGAATTGTGAAGTTATCTTTATAATTTATTTTTATCGGCTGCAATGTCTTTGAACATTATTATTTTATTTTACTGCTTGCGATCTGACTATGTTTTATTTTATTTTTTTTTTTCATTTGTAGTGTTCCAAGTAAATTTATTTTATAGGAGATAGGATATTTTATTCTAATTTATTTATTTTATTGTTTGTTTAGAATCATAAACATAAATTGGAGACATGGTTTATTCAAAACTGTCCACCTTACAAGTATAAATCAAATAGAAAGTCTATAAATAACTCCTTCAAGCAAAAGTGTACATAGCTGACGTTCACTAGATAAAATTTTTTTTTTAATTGTATTTTATTTTATTAGTTTTAGCATTATTTTTTTACTTCTATCGTCAGCTTTTTATTTTTACTGGAAAATAAAGACCAGTGGGAAGTACTGTTAGACTTAAGTCCATTATATAAGATTGAAACTATATACAACATTTTTCTTTTTTAAATATGGTTTTTATTTGCTTTGTAGTCGAGTGTTAAACCCCATTTTTCCACTAACCACCAGATAGGAACCCTGTACTGCTAATTTTCGATTTCTTTTTTTTTATAGTATTCGCTATGGAAAAAAACATCACATTGGTGTCATTTAAATCAAATATTTTTATTATATGGGGTATCAGTTCTTAACTCTAGAGGGTGATTCTAGACAAAATATCGAACAAAAAAATTCGTTTGATGGATGGACACATTCCGAACGGAATCGGAGAAGGAATTAAGACAATTTTTTTTTCATTTTATGGTTGTCACGGTTTTTATTTTATTTTTTTATTCATTGATATTTACAACTGCATTATAAAAAAATACAACTAGTAAATGTGCACACATTAATAATACAATCACATGAAAATGCTTGTTGAGAAACTACCTATTGGTAGCACTCTAATAATATATTGACATAAGTAGATCACGAGGCCATCTTCTTTTAGACGACTTCTAGACGCCTCGGAGGGTACGGTTTTTATTGAATAAGAAGGCATTGCTCGAAAACTGTTCAAGATAATTAAATTTTAAGTACACCATCGTAAAGTTGACAAAACTTTTTTGATAAAACAGTCAAAGGAAAATGATAAAACGGACTTTGGAGGCGATTTACCACGGCTACTTTACTTCTGCAGTTACTATATCCATATATGAGTTGCGTAACTCTGTAATCCTGATTTGTACGCAGCATTATAGCCGTCGTATTTAACCTCCTGAAAGTACCTTTTATCCTTAACCTTTATCTTTAATTTAAACACTCAAGAAAATCTGCTTTACTATGGTGTAATTATAAATTTAATCATCTTGAATTGTTTTTGAACATTTTTTTCTTATTCAATAAAACAAGTACCCACACAAAATTAATCTTAATTCTTACTTTGTATGAAATGGACATTTTTGTTTGAAATTTTGTCTAGAAACTATACCCAGAATTTGACTTTTCACAACTGAGCCACCCTGTGTATGGTATGACGTTTTACGGTTCGGATTCTTACTCCTCCCCCCAAGTTAGGGTTGTTGCTGAGGTTTTTCTCCCCCTTCTTTAATTTCCCAAATCTTTGCCAGAGATCGAACCGACAAGGATACTTACCAGCCTTGTATATGGTAGTTCGCCGAATTTTTTAGTGAGCTCTTTCATTCCGAACCTTTAGGGCTTTTTTTCACTTTCGTTATAAAATGGCTAGACGACATTGGTTATATACCCCCCAAAGAAATTCTCGCTAATATGCTTCTTCAGCAGTATGCTTCAGACAAGTTGACAAGCAGTTTATAATTCTAAACTGGAAGAATGTATCACATAAAATGAAAGTGATTATTCACTTGCCGAGACCTAAAGAGAATGCTTAAGATATAACAAATGGTCATCCTTTTCACTCTTACCGATGAAATAACAGAAACATTGTTCTGAATAATACAGAAGAAAACTTTCAATGCTGGAATATAGCGATCCTTTACATTTTTTATATTTTCGTGCTTAGGCAGCTGATTTCACTGACTTTTAAAATGAGGTACCATAAAACATTACACTTTAGACTTAAGATATACTACAGAGGATATGATGTCCGAGAACCTTGGGATGTGGGTTCGATTCCTTCTTGGGTCGGTTAAATTTCTTTTTGGTGGTTCCAGGAAATGAATCTTGACTCTATCACTTTGGTAAGTACGCGTCGGCAACCTCAATGTATGTGCGAAAAATGATCACAAGTCCCACTTGCTGGTATACAACATTCTTAAAAAATGACAAATTGTATTTTTTCAGCGAAATAGCAAACATTCTTCATATTTTTATCATCAATTTTCCTCCCAATTTTACCTTAGTTTGTTTTTGAAAAATATCAACCTTCTCTTTCTACTAGAAAGAATTTTGAGATAAAAGGAAAAACTAATCAGTCATTCTATCCTTGAGTAATGTTAACTTTAATATTTTTACGAATGATGAAGAGAAGAATAGTTGGGGTGATCTGTCAAATAAGGAGGCAAAAATAAATGATAATATTTATTTTGACATTTGCCGAAGTTTCGACCAGAAGTTCAGGCCTTCATCAGGGCTGTCTCCACCAGTGTTATACGGAGAATAAAAATGTCAAAACGTCGACAAATGTAAAAATAAATATTATCATTTATTTTTGCCTTCTTATTTGACTGATCACCCCAACTATTCTTCTCTTCATTATTCACGACAGTCAACCATATTACCCACAATTAATATTTTAACATTTAATTGCAATTTAATAGGCTCTTTTATGATGTAATACAATAAAAATATTTATTATGTATTATGGAAAGTGAGGTATCCGGATATGCAACAAAGCTTAAGGGATTCAAAGTATAAAGTGCGAATCCCTTGAGCTTTGTTGGAGATCCGGATTCGAAGGTAAATTCTTTAATCAGAAACTCTTTGACACCTGATGTTTCCAACATAGTTCTTATCAGAACCACGCTCAACCTCATCTCGTACATTGAATCCCTTATTGAATGTTTTTTTAATGATATTGAGGTGGGTGGCCGTGGATTTAATTTCATAAGAAATTAGTTCGGGGTGCGGTAAAAAAATACTATATTTTATAATAGTATTTGTTATTATATTGTCCAACGTTTTGATCTACGTTGTATCAGTTGACTCGACTCAGTCGCCATGATTGCCCTGAGGATGACCTACAACGTAGATCGAAAGGTTGGATAATATAATAATATATGCTATTATAAAATATAGTCCTTTTTTTTACCGCACCTCCGACTAGTTTCTTGTGAAATATTATGTATTTTTTGTAAAAAAAACTTCATGAAAAAAGGTTTCTGTTTAGTTACCCCTTCTATTTTATATCATATTACCGTACTGTTTGAAATTTAACTGAGACAGACAGACGTACGTACATTTCGTACTGTTATGTATAAACAGTGACGATTTCCTCAGTAAACAGGTAGAACGGAAGGGTTGCTGGTTTGCATGTGATATAGCCTGGAAGCACCAGCCGAAGAAACACCTGCTCAGAGCCGACAGATGGTACCTAAGAGTCCCATCGGAACTCCCGAACATTCTCTCATCGCCGCGGCTTTGTTTCTAAAACAATGAGATACCACAAGCGCTTATCTCAACTAGCGCCTTCTTCTTTCCTTTCACCTCTTCCATCACCTCCTGTCTCTGAGTAGTGTAATCCCGTCCTAATTGTCGGGGAGGACATCATTGTTGGCGGTAACACGGAGGGCTCTACTTACTGATGGTACCAGGCAAAAGATGGGTTATTCTCGTAAAAATTACTTAATTAATCGAAGAGTGAATTCAGGGTTATTATACATCTGGTACCAGATAATGTATTCATAGGACAACTCATGTGTTGAGAATGAACTTCAATTCGATAAAAACAAATAAGACAAATTCTTTGACCGGAAACGTAATTGATAAGTTAAATGGGAAATTATTTATATTATTTACTAAAAATAATAGAAATAAAATTTAAATATTTCAGAACTTAATATTCTTAGAGGATTTTTTTCGGCCGTTAACTATAGCATTCCTAACTCCTCAGAATATTTCCAAGTTCAACTGTCGGTAAGCTGAATTACAGCTCTTCAAGCCCTCATATTAAATTAAAATAAATAGTGTTAGTTAATAATGTTAATAGTAATAAGGTTAAATAGTGGCAAAACTATTTTATTAAAAGCCAACGTTTCGACCCGACTTTGCAGATCTTCTTCAGGGCTAAAACGGACAAGATACAAAAAGATATAGAGAATTGTGGAAGTTACATGATATTAAGACAAAAAATTATAAACAATGTGAATAAGCTTATTTAAATTATAAACAATAAGTACATTAAAATATAATCAGAGTAAGCTTAGGATCTTGTACTTACTGTTTGTAATTTTAACAAGCTTATTCACATTGTTTATAATTTTTGTCTTAATATTATGTAGCTTCCACAATTCTCTATATCTTTTTGCATCTTGTCCGTTCTACCCCTGAAGAAGATCTGCAAAGTCGGGTCGAAACGTTGGCTT